TCAAATAAATAAATCCTTGGTGCACTCTATGAACATATCATAACAGAATAAAGTTTGTTAAGTTTGTCAAAAACATTTCAGAAAATGATTTCCATTAGGTATCTGTCTCCACTGTCAATTACATTCACCACAAGCATGTTTATAATTGTGAAATATCTCCAAACACCATCTACACCACTGTTGATCGAAACAGTCAAAAACATGTGTATATATTGTAACAAGTCCTCGGTGCTGAGCGCTTTTCTTTTTCCAAAGTGCTGCCAAGTTTTAACTTCTCTCTTTTGCTGACTGAGGAAGTCAAGTCTCAAACTGTACTGAAGACCTTAGTTTGTGCCAAAACATTCTCAGGGAATTTAGTTCATCATGCACAAGGTGACTGACTGAGAGAGGATTAGCGGTTGAGGTTTGAACTCGGTACTGGAGAATAAAGTTTGTTTGTTCGTTTGTTTGTTGTTTAGTGCCGCACTCAGCAGTATTCAAGCTATATGAGGGCGGTCTGTAATAATTAAGTCTGGACCAGACAATCCAGTGATCGACATCAAGAGCATCCATCCACACAATTGGGATACGATGACATGCATCAATCACGTCAGCGAGTCTGACCACCCGATCCCATTAGACGCCTCTTACGACAAGCATAGTCGCCTTTTACAGCAAGCATGGGTTGCTGAAGACCTATGTTTGCACCACATGCTGTGCCTGATCAACACAATGTGGTATATCAACCACATGAAATACACATACTGTTTCCCTGTTCTTGCATCTGCATGTATTCCATTACCAAATAATGTCACTGTCCTTCAAACAGTTCCACCTGATCTGACTGAGTATGATGACATCTGTCTGACAGCTTAACACTGTTTCATGAGGTAACATTTTGCCATTCCATAGAGCTATTGTCGAGTTACCTGTGTTATTTTCACTAAGCTACTCTGCAAGACAACTCCCTTAAGTACCATTGCCTTCGAATCCTTTTGACAGCTGGCAAGAATTAGAGTTGAGGCTTGAATGAATGGTCTACTTAGTATATGCAAATAAGCTGAACCAGCCAAACCAGTGACTAACAAGATTGATATCAGTGCAATAATACACAATGATCCAATAAAAGTGACAAAAAACATTTCCATAATCATAATTAATACATTGTAGATCTCGATTATATCATAAGCATGTGTTTATGAATCACTATCAAATAATAATGATACCAGATGTTCGTGAAAAGATGAGCGTATCCTGCCCCACATGTCATACTTACAGATTACAAATTGAGGGAGATATCGGGTTCTATGAAGTATTCATATAAATATCTTAATCTGAGGACCCCTAAATCTTACATTGTTTAGCATTAGGTTAAACCAAGGCATGGTCCACATAGATGATCTCCCCTCCAGATACTTCCTACACTCAGCAGCCATTTGCACTGGCAATTTATTGGTGTCGTGTGAGTACCTTGGATCACAATGACTGGTAGAGGCTTGAATTCACAGACCTTCATGTGGTGGATCTATTTGTCTGAAATTTGTAGTTATATTACATGTTTATTACTTCTTGAAACGTTCAATAACATGACTCGTCATGTTTTTCAGTGAAAGTAGGTCTACTCAAATGCCATATTATCTTTGAAAGGCAGTCAAGTTCCTGTCAATCCTACATACTCGTTAATCCGACATAGTTGGTTGCATATCCTTATGTCTGATTGACGAGTATGTTGGATAAACGAAATTAGATAGTATCAAAGTTCGTGATCGAAAATCAGACTACAACACAATAGATAACGATTGAAACATGTAATAAAACAAAAGGAAAGGGGAAATATTTATGTTGTTAAGTTATATCGTTGGCGGAATATGTTTTCTAATCATGCAACCTCTAAATTTTTACACAAAACTACTGTTACGAACTGTATGACTGATTCAAAATACATTTTAAAGCAAAGTCTGGAATGGAAGTAGCCAATTTCAAACTTGTCCCGCAATGTTTAAGAAAGCTGCTTTCTTAGTGGCTAATGTCGACTTCCTGTTAGTAATTTCATTGGTCGGTCAGTTTGCGAAAGGTCGTTCTGACGTGACCTGTAATGGGATGTCCTCAGCGGTTGCGAGAACTTGTATCCGATTTAAATGAGATTGAGGTAATCTAGGCATGTGAATAATCCTGTTTTGTTTATTTAAAGCAGTAATTGTTTATTGTTAAGCAAGCTTATCTTTGCAGCCATTGAAATATGCAGCTATTCGCCGATTCGTCTCGCATCAAAACACAGGGTTATGTACTCGTTGGCAGATGACCACGGAGTACGCTGATCACTGTGTCGGATTAACAAGACTGATTAATTAGTGATTTCAACAATTTTAGGTGCAAATTAGGTGTGTCGGAGTCGGAGTGCGAGACTGTCAGATTAACAGGTCTAAATAGCACTGATTTAATCGGTTCCCATCATTAGTGTCGGATAAAGCCAATTGTCGGATTAATGAGTGTCGAATTAACGAGATTTGACTGTAACCAACAAAAACCTAACATGCACTTGACACCTGCACATGAATATAAAACTTGCTAATGTGGCATCAACAATTTCCCCTCATGACAGATTCTTCTGTTTTTCTCCCTCCAAAATATTTATTCTTCAAAAAGTAATTCCCTCAAGACATCAACTGCACTTTGAAGAAAATTTGAAATGTGATGTATTCAACCAGGTCGCCAACATTTACAACATTTTTAAACCCCAGACATTGTAAAGGTTACATCAATGCTGTCTGACAAGCGAGGAACACTCATTTCACTTGACTAGCTAAATAGACTCAAGGACTGTGAGACAAAATGTCAGCTGAAATGTGCCATTCCCAATTCCATCGGCTGTGATTTAGCATCCATGCATGTGAAAATTGCCCTAAATTAGCAGCAATCCTGCACAACAAGGAACAACACCTCTGACAGGTGAGGACAATCACCAGATCAAGATCAATATCTCCATGCTAATGAGATCATATTTCAGCTTTTCAAAGCCATAAACCCCTGTGAATTACATTACAAAGACGGGAGAGATTGCTCTCCCTGGAACACTAAGCAATCTGTGGTTGCAGTCAGGAGAGCCAGGTCAGTTAGCTCTCTTACAAGCTTACATTAAGATGGCGCCATGGCTGAACTTTGGCCTGAAAAAACATGTCCATAAAGTAACATATTCAAACTGCCAATTTATTAATAGCTATCTATGTAGAGCCTGCGATAAAAGACTATATATGGGCAGCATGCAACAAATAGCTGAAAGGGTTTGGATGAATAAATGATCACTTATGCCTCATTTCTATGAATTGCTTTTTTTCAGCTGAAATTTACACCATTCACTGAAAGGTTCAATGAGTGCCCATAGAGGAACATAGCTGGAAAACTAACAATGATTTATAAGAGAGAGAATTTATGGATAAACTTCTAAAATTTGAGGAACACAACGTTTCGGAGAATATGCTTACTCCTTCATCACCTGATGAAACCTGACCACCCGATCCCGTTTGTGGCCTCTTATAACAAACATGGGTTGCTGAAGACCAATTCTAACCGGGATCTTCACGGGGCATGTTTTGGTCATACCATCATGTGTGGGCTCCTAATATGTAGAATAATAAGGAGACCATGAGGGTTGTAACATTCAATTGAACTGTCATATAGCTGTCCATGCCATGATTCCACAGTGTTGAAAATTAATTCTTGACTACTAACAATTTAAACAGACACACTAAAAAAATACTGAAGAAACCTTTGCCATTTTTAAGAAAGATGCTAGGGTGTTAACGTGATTAAATACATTAATATTTTCTTACCGAAAGAAAAGAATGTAAAGTATTTACTACGCATGTCTTTCATATCTTTACATCCATTGAAATTCAAGTATGGTACTGATGGCAACACTTATTGTCATTAACTCAAGGACAATTGCCATGCTTCAATATTTCGACCAATTGTATAATGACCAAAAGTATAGTGTGCATAAGATGGCCAGCTGTCACTCCAAGGTGTAGCTTGGGATTGCCTTCCTGGGAATAAGCACATATGTCAATTTACCAAACAGGGCTCAATTTAGCTATACAAAACATGCAACCTGTTATTGAAAAATGCAACCTAATATTTATGACTACATGCTACCAGACCATGTAAAAAGCTTTCAAATTTGTGCCGGAATAAATCTTACTTATCCACACAAAATCAATCTTTGAACCCACTCAATACCTCTGAAGTTACTTACCATACTACATCACTAATCTCTGTGTTACGTGTAACTTGTCAGGCTTTCTTACAACTGTGGATACATCAAGATTATGTGCATATGTTCCTATTACGTTTCACAGCACTACTATGTGACACTGGCAGCAGATTTGTCTTTGTTTCAACTTCGATAAATTTATGGGACCCAGGTGAAACCTGGTTTTGTTTGGTGCAACTTGATTTTCATGTCAACATGCACCTGGTGCAAGTTAGATCAAGTTCCTTGAATCGAGCCCTGACAAGATTTTACTTATAAAAGACTTAACATAGAAATAGTTGATCATCTCTGTGAGTGTAACATGAAGACTATTCAAATGACGATGTATGCCTCATTTATTCACATAAGAGAACATAAAGATCCTCAGCAGACCATGCTTGTCCAAAGAACAGACTAATGGGATCGGGTAGTCAGGCTTGTTTACTTGGTTGAAGCATTTCATTGTAGACCGATGCTCATATCAATCACAGGATTCTCTGGCCCAGAGTTGATTATTTACAGATTGCTGTCATATAGCTGAGTACGGTATTGAACAACAAACAAACAAACAATTATTTACATAAGAACATACTATTATTTGTATGTTCCAACCAGCCTTGTCAACATCAGACATACTTAATTTCAAGACCAAACCTGACATCATGCACTGAAAGAGTCACTGGATCCAGACAGGGTCAATATCTGTACGGCAATTATGGTAACAACATTATAAATTAGAAAAATAAGCTGAAGTCCATCAGCACTGACTTACCAACATCAGATGACGTTTGTTTTCGATGACCGTTTTCTTCATGGTCCACTGGCTGACTAGATAAAGCAAGCACCATTATATGAGCGACAGCATTGGTTCGTTCCTTGAGGTCACTGAACATCCTCAACTCCTTGTCCACTGACCTCTGTAATACCTGGAAAACAAAGGCGAACAATGAATACTGTAGGAGAGAGAGAGAGTTGACTAAATGTTGCTCTGAACAATATTTCAGTTATATCACGGCAGTCAGCTTGATGTGGGAAGAATCCAAAGTGATGGAGGTCTTAGACGTAGACCACCATTGGTAAACTTACCAGCAAGGGTTTGATGCTGACTAACCTAGAAACACTATCAGGACACACTGGGATTCGGACCCATGAACATAGGTTCCTGGTATACCCAGGGCGGTCAGGTAGCCTAGTGGTTAAAGCGTTCGCTCGTCACACCGAAGACCCAGGTTCGATTCCTGAAATGGGTACAATGTGTGACGCCCATTTCTGGTGTCCCCCGCCGTAATATTGCTGAAATATTGCAAAAAGTGGCGTAAAACCAAACTCACTCACTCACTCCTGGTATGCCCAAGGGACAGAGCTCACAGCATACTGTAGACGACTGGGCTCCCGGGCCGCTTCTTGGAATGAGTAGAGGATTTGGGGTTAGAATGGGCGGAGATCTTTAGCACACTTTTTGAAAACAATTTGGGTTTTAGCAGGTAAGTCAATGTGGGTAAAGCAGGTTGCAGATGTTTGTAGAGTCATAACCGGGCTGAATCTCATTATCTGTCATCATCAGACCCTGGCATGGTAGACTTAACTTAGTCTGAAATATATACTTTTCATAGAAACAAGCAACTGAAAAAGTGCCCAAGTGAGATGGGATTTTCAGACCTGAACCTGTGAAAAATCTAGATTTGATATTTAGAGCTTTAGAATTATGGAAAGGGGTGGACAGAAGGGAATATAATATCGAGACAGACAACTGGCATGTCTTTAGGTTTTCTTTTATAGTATTCTAATTCAGAGACTAGGGAAAACTCTTAAACCATACCGTTTTGAAAAGGATCACTTTTGTGCTTAATTTCATGCAGCTTAAGGGGCGGTGGGGTAGCCTAGTGGTTAAAGCATTTGCTTGTCAGACCCGGGTTGATACAATGTGTGAGCACCCATTTCTGTTGTCCCTGCCATAACGTTGCTAGAATATTGCTAAAAGCGGCGTAAAACTATACTCACTGATTCATGTAGCTTAAAGTGCAAGAAATAATATGACAAATAGATCACAATGATATTTCAATGCTAATGCATGATGCAGACATAACATGGTACACAGTGTGAGTCAGGGAATGACACACATTCACCTGGGGCTTTGTTGATGAATGCAATTTATTGGCTACCAGGGTACGACTGTCGTAACTCCCACACTCATAGCATCAATACGGCTTTGTGGAACATGTGGAAGGAAGCCAAGATCAAGCTTCATTTACAAGTACGAGGCCCTTGGGAGCTACTACTACTAACACAGTTTGGGAACTTTCAGAGCATCTTCTAAATTAGGATACATCTATAAATCAGTTTATTATTTTGAAAGCCTTACCATCACAAAAGCCTTTAGCCTCCAAATAATGTACTGGGTAACATAGAAATGATCTGATATCATATCTACAACTTCAAACAAATCTGTAATACTACAGAAAATTCCAAAATTTACAAACATATTTTGTATTGGTACATTGTATTGTTAGCATAGCTAATTATGTATTTGTTTATATAGTTGTGAGTGAGTGAGTGAGTGAGTGAGTGAGTGAGTGAGTGAGTGAGTGAGTATGGTTTAACGCTGCTTGTTGAAATATTCTAGCAATATCTTGGTGGGGGACACCAGAAATGGGATTCGCTCATTGTACCCCTGTCGGGAATCGAACCCAGCTTGAAGAGCGAACGGTTTAACCACTAGGCTACATGACCGCCCCTTATACAGTTTATAGAATAGTCACTGTATCTTGTAAATCAGACATAAAGTAGTTTCATGTTTGACCTCTTGACCTCTTGATCTCTTGACCTCTTGCCATCAACCTACAGATATAGCTGCAGTAAGGTAAACAACAGTCAGTTCCTTGATGGAGGAATGATTGTGGGATTAGCAGGCAAAGGCCTGGCACAACCACTAATTTCCTTGAAGCTTACCAGACCACAAATTAAGCTAAGTATTAGGACAAAAAAATAAAAAGTATTTTATGTTCTTGGTCCTTTGATTTGGGATAAAAACTTTATGTTTCGTATTCATTTATTTTGAGAAAAGCTCATTTGCATGACATTATAATCTTGATGAAAAAGATAGTTCTCTTCTGTATTAGAATTCCCTTTTCGCAAAAAATCATGAAGTTCTGTTGAGTGATGTCGCAACTGCACGAATCATGCTTATAGGCCTTATGATGTTGCTGAAAGGGTCGTTGTCAGCACACTTATACTACCATGTACCTGGATACTTTTGAGTACCCACAAAGGAGCAAAACTACCCCTGCTCACTAAATCTATCCACTCTCGTACAACGCTCCACATGGCCACAATAGCCTCTGAAAGCATGCAGATCGTCTCGACCTAGTGCCTGCTATAGATAAGATAAGATAAGATAATATTTATTGCAGAAATGTTCCACTAGGGACAGATGCAATTTTAAAAGACAAGACATTATGATTCATATATACATATATACAGACATACATAATTTACATTCCTGTAGACACATACAAAAACAAAACAATCAATATTACATATTTGATGATATTTTTATATATAAAATGTCAACGGTTGATTATGAAGGGGTATTTATTGTTTGAAATTATAGATATGGAAACAAATACAGTTGATATTGACTGCTTCATTATTTGACAGGATGTAGTGAAATAATTTGTCTTCATGACTTTGAGGGGTGGTTGGGTAGCCTAGTGGTTAAAGCGTTCGCTCGTCACGCCGAAGACCCGGGTTCGATTCCCGACATGGGTACAATGTGTGAAGCCCATTTCTGGTGTCCCCCGCCGTGAGATTGCTGGAATATTGCTAAAAGCGGCGTAAAACCATACTCACTCACTCACTCATGACTGTGGACATTTACATTTACATTTTGTCTGGATAATTTTTCAAAGAGTATATTTCTTTCTTGAGTGTGTTTAATACAGTGAAGTAAGTACCGGTAGTGTTTTTCGTCATCAATGGTTGAACATGTAGAGCATAGCCTCTGATGTAGTGGGGTTGGTGGCTTTGTATGTCTTCCAAGTTCAATATTTAATTTATGGTTACTTAATCTTAGTTTAGAAAAGTGCACTCGATATTTTTTTACTTTACAGTGACTGAGATAGGGTTCTAATTTTATTTCATATTTAACTATCCTATATGTACTAAGTTTGTTTCCTGTGCCTCTTGTTGCATTTACATCTTGAAGAGATTCCTTGAAGAGGATGTTGAATTTAGATTTGATTGTCTCTTTGAATATTGGTGATAGGAAAGCTGAAGTACTCAAATTGTGTTTTCCTATATGTAGATCGTTTTCTTTCAGATTAATGAAAACTATGGATTATGGTCAATCTGTATATAAACAAGTCTTTTACTTATGTAAAGCTGGTAAGATCCTGAAAGTCTCACGACAGGTTATTGTTCGGTACATTTAAGAACAGTCTCATTAACATGAGACTCTGTGGCTACTCTTTAGTATACTCAAAAGTACCCGGGTACATAGTGACAAAGGTGTCCCGACAACCCCATCAGCCATAATATTACCCCTACACACACAACACGTGAGGCATTGTGCATCATCTGCACTTTGATTGTTCATCTTGGAGAAAGTAGGTTAGAGTTACCCGCCCTTTATTCAAATTCTGGAAACTAAAACAGCCAGACTCTGGGGCTTGAAATGATGTCGGTGGGGACTAGAAACATAACATGTCAATCTCAATACTTTACTGGGGAGACTATGCTTGTCCCAAGAGGCGACTAACGGGATCAGGTGGTCAGGCTTGCTGACTTGATTGATGCATGTCATCGTATCCCAATTGCGTGGATCGATGCACATCTAGATTGTCTGGCCCAGACTCGATTAAGACTGTTGTCATATAGCAGGAATATTGCTGAGTGCGTTAACAACAAACAAACAAATGAATACAGATTGAAATTTTAGCCATGAATTGTTAACCTTCTCTGAGGTGGAAATACAATAGACATTGCTTATTTTCATGAATAAAGCATATTACTTTTAAGAAATGTTATGCATATGTTCCTAAGGCAAAACTAGGTTGTAAGTTGATAAGCTGCAGTGCAGTCATCATGTGAGTCAGTCTATCATCACTAATAATACCACACATCAGTTGTCTGTGGTTCAAAACACAGGGGAAGAAATACTGTAATAAGGTTTTAGGCTACTTCTGACAACGTTTATAACGAACACGCTTATAACGAACTGACAGATGTAACGAAATGAGTTTTGATCCCGTCTATTTACTGTATATATGCTAAAAACAAACTACGGTTATAACGAACTAAAATTAGTGGTCCCTTTGAGTTCGTTATAAGCAAAGTTTACTGCACATAAATAATCATTATTAAGAAATGTCAAAGCACCGGCTTGCACAACAATCCTCCACATCACCTTATACAAGGATGGTTAAATGTCATGATAAACTATTTGTTTAGATCTGTAAAAGATTACTTTGTCATATATTATGTACACTTCAAGAAGCCACAATATTATTTTCAAAAACATATCATACAAAATAATTAAAAACAAATTACCCCATTCTCACATGAAGTAAATATTTTGGCTGTCTGTTCAACAATAAAGTTGTGTCATATTTGTATGCTACTGCAGCTGCTGAAATCTGTTCTTCCATCCAGGAGACATAAAGAACATTACCATCATTACTGTCATGCTTACCCAGACATATATACAATCATGGTAATAAGCTCAAAAGAATAAGGCATACTACATTTTGCCCTAAAAAAGGATTTTCCATAGATAATGTCAGAGCTGCCAACTGAAATAGCTCAAAGCAGTAAATTACATGGTGATTGTTGGACCTCATGGTAACTATGGATACAAGAAATTCCATTGCATCGATGCTGTACATATGCAAGCATACAAAAATCCCCTTCAGAATCTTTCATGCAATTTTCAGATAATTCAGATAGACACAGCATTTGAGATCTCCTTGCAGCTGACACTTGCCAGGAAAAACACAACAAAGGTGGTATTTTGTAAGTATGCCTGGAATTTCCTGCCACTTTTTATTAAGCACAGAAGTACCTAATTGTTGCATAATACCCAAAGAGCAAGTAAACAAAACGCAGGACGATTCACAAATAAACACCACATGGAATGACGGGGGAAGAGGAGAAGAAATGGTGTGACTTTGTTGAGTTTAACCATCAAGAACTCAGTGTATCTCGTCTTTACCATACTCGTAATAGGAACAGTTTTTCTCGTCTCCTTTATTCCCCCATGCTGTCCTATTTGGCGCCACCTGATGTCAGGAGTAATCACTTGAAACCAGTTTTAAGACAATATGGTAATAAACAGTTAATGAGGATTCAGATTTATCAAGGAGCACAGAAGTATTTTTTCTATTGCCCTGCAAATCATCTTGTCAGAATGTTGGTGATGGCAAAAACAACTTGGAACAAAAAATAATGACCTGTTATCATATTCACAGCCATGTCTGGGAGATTCTATCATTGAAAAATCTGATTCAAAGATGCAGTCAGTGAATTTTAATGACCAAAATGACAAAATGTACATAAACCTGTGATTGTGTAAGTTAAAATTAAGCAGTGTTTGAATTTAAGGGGGGTTTGGGTTACTTGAAGTCTTCTATGGTATTTGAATCTGGGGACCGACTAAATCAAGGGTATGGCAAGGACCTCCAGACTTCCATGCTCGATTTTGAACACAGTAAAGGTTATAGATAGCTGATACATATGGTGTAATGACTAGTGGTGGGATGATACACCAATGAATCGCAATATTTTACTTCCCAATACAAGTATCGATCACAGTTCCACACTAAGTAAAAAATACCGATTCATACCTTAAATGTTCACTTTAATGGCGGTTATACCAAACACTAATTAGTAGTGAAAAAGTAAATATTTTCAGCCATTGTGCCATATTTGACACTGCCAAATGTAAATCGTCAGTGTGCCAGGTATTTGACTATCCTGTCTATGAAGAAGATGGCTTAAGCATTTGCAAGTATCATGATACGTATAGGATCATGAACAAGGTATCGTGATTAATATTGGATCGCACAGTTAGTGTATCTTCCCAGCCCTAGTAATGACTGTGGTAAGTCAATGTTAAAGTATTGGAGTTACTATCATGTCACAGATCTGGTCGCTTATGGAAGGGGGCCAAGGTCACACAGAATGGCCAACCAATATTCATTTTCACTGGTTCTAACAACTCGAATGGCAACTACTGCAGAATGCCTTCAGGGTTCATGATTAACATCAATCAATATATTGCTTAGCTCTTTTCCAGGAATGTTGTTTTAAAACATCAACACAGTGACACTGAAAGATAGTCAATTACTACTTGACAACAGCTTCCACTAGATCAAACATCCCAATTAAATTTACATACACTCTTGTATCCGTGTCCATGGTTTAATGGCTTGTAAAGAGCTCTCCACGCAATACACCACCTCACTTAACCTTTCCACTAGCCTTACCACATCGCCAAACAACAACAGGTGAATGGGAAGTTGTAATATCATATTCCGAAAGACTTTGGCAGACCGACAATGGACTTGTGATGTGGAGTACAGCTTGATTAGGACAACCTGTTGCTTTAATGTGCCTGACCTTTCAAACAGACTACAACTGTGCCGATCGATAGCAGCGACATAGCTGTGAAGCCTTGTTGAAAGGGGTTGGTCACCTAAGTAGTGTGTTTGTGTGTTTTCACTCCATCTTTCGCGAGTACCTCACAGTTGGGATTCCATTCAGACACCTGTCTAGCTCTGTAGGATTACAAGTGGGAAGGCCACAGTGTTCTAGTCATACTGTTCACACTACTATGAATTCCCCAGCTTGTTTCAGCAAGGGAACGAGATCAATGCCAAGCATTCCTTGCTTACAGCTTTAGATATCCAACAGTGTTTTCATGTGTCTGCATACATCAAACCCCTAATACTACAAACACTGCCCAAGAGACGATGTTTTTTACTTAACATACGAACAGATAAATATCCAACAAAGGCTCTCTTTTCATAAAACAAGTTCTTTTAAGCAGTGAATGAAACACATACAAGTCCACTGCTTCAGACAAATGTATATGTCTTATCAAAATATTTATGCGTGTTTAGGATGTTATGGGGGATGTCCCAGTGGATTTGTTCGGTTTTCTGGGAAGATATTAAACAAGGAGCACAAGTACCACATCTGACAGGTGTACCGATACACAAACCCAAATGTCATACACAATCCATCATGATATGCATCAACCCAAACAAATAGATGAACCTGTCAACAAAAATCATCCTCAAAAGTCATGGTAAGATCCTGATGCTAACATAATAATACACACTGTCTACCAAAAGAAGATTGCCGATAAATGGAAGGCCATCCATAATTTCAAAGACAACTGACTGTCCCCCCAAACCAACAATGCCCTACAGGGCAGGATAATCCAGGATAATAAACTGACAGTGCTGCGCTCAAAAAGGGGAAAAAATCATTATTTCGTACAAATTTTGATTTTTCTTAAGTGTTTATTTTCTTAAATTCAGAGGTATTTTAACATTGTATTTTGAGATTGTATTCCATGCAATAACATAAAACTGAGCATTAACACCTCTTCCTATTTATTGGACCTGTTACCAGTGAATCACAGGTTATCTTTACATAGCCATTAAATTAATCATTGATAATATACGTGTACATACAGATAAATTGGGACATTTTTCATTTCTGATTTGGGAATTTTTACTGACATTTGCTGCAGACTAGGGCCCTGAGTTTTATTATTTTCTATTATTTTTCAGTAAATTCACTTCAAATGGTATCCTTTAACCAACTTCGAACATGTTCTGGGGGCACGGGTATCATAACTTACTATCATAAGCTGTGTTGAAAGAAGTGATGATTAACCATCATCAATTGAATAACTTGTATTGTTGGATTGTATTACCATTCAAAAAATGAGAATAAAACGAGAATTCTAATATTCAAACTCAAAGCAAGATTTCCAGACTTAATTACTGTAATGATTAGGGCTGCAATGAATACATTGTGAGGCAAATAAGATTCATATCACGAATATAGGGTAACGAATATGAATATTAGTTCACAAATGCAAAAACAAGTCAGCAGTTGATGTATTATTATTATATTCAGTGAAACAATAACAACATAAATTGCTTGACATGGTTTGTTAATTATTAATATATTATATTTTTATACTGCACTTATCCAGGTACTAGTATCTGCTCAATGCGACAATGACCATTGACCACATTACTGTCAAATTAAATATTATAAGAGTGTTGTAATTGAAAAGATCTATTTTTAGGTACAGGGTATGTAAATACACACGATTGCATATTTATAAATATTTGATTCTAGTGGCCACGAATAACGAATTCAATTCATGAATGGTTACGGTTTGATTCACCGAATATGTAGATGAATCGTAACAGCCCTGGTAATGATTCATTTTAGTTCAATCAGCTACATTCAATAACAGTGGTCCATTTAATGCCTGAACATTTCCGACTAGAAATTATTTTTATGAAATATAAAGGGAGCTGAGGTTAATTCTCATCATCACTTCCTAATCTCTTTTCTAAAATAGATCCAAACAATGAATTTAAAAAATATTGTCAATATCTAGGCACAACTCTTCACGTAGTAGATACAATATGCACACCAACTATACGCTAGAACAAGAATATGAAGCAATGCTTAATGTTACTCTGACCACGTCTGACTTAACCTCTTGTCCAAATAAATTTCTTGCGAACTCATCAAATAACAGGCCAAATATTAACAGAAAAAAAACCAGGAAATGTTGGTAAATGACAAGGCTTTGATACAGACTGTAAAGTGACAATTTACTGATGTTCTGAATAAAATCGTTTTACTAATACATGCATTTCGGGTCCTCATCAATCTCTAAAATTCAACAATAAGGTTATAACAAAGGCCACTTAACTATCAAGCGTAATTTGAAAAACTGAGATTCAATGTGATCAACAGGTGAAACTTCAGCAAATTGTCACCCTTCAAGCAAGTCTGTAGGTACAGGAGAGAGTGGACAGTCCCTTTCACACATTACCAGGACATGTGGGAAGTCCAAGAGTAATTTCTAGAGTGATGGATCTGTGAATTGGTAAAGGCAATCAGGCAGCGTTTGAAGGAGACAGTGCAACATTTCAGCAGGACTGATGGCAAATCAGTCAAAGGGCGCCATTTAATCAGAATTTAATTAATCCTAAATTGATCTGCAGTATGTCCACAAGATATCAATATGTCTCCCTAAACATGGTGGCCATTCAAAACATCCACTTGTCAGCTTATTGAACTACTGTGTAAGAAAATATAGCAGTAATATTCTTTGTTCTCTATTAACTGCAGGTAAGTCATATGTAACATTTAGTTCTACAAATGTAACATATATCAAGACTGGATATACAGCAGTTATTCCCTACTGTGTCAATACACACGTAACATCCTGACCTCACTGATTGCTAATGTGTTTGTAAGACATACTGACCTCACTGATTGCTAATGTGTCTGTAAGACATACTGACCTCACTGATTGCTAATGTGTCTGTAAGACATACTGACCTCACTGATTGCTAATGTGTCCGTAAGACATACTGACCTCACTGATACTGACCTCAATGATTGCTAATGTGTCCGTAAGACATACTGACCTCACTGATACTGACCTCACTGATTGCTAATGTGTCCGTAAGACATACTGACCTCACTGATTGCTAATGCGTCCATACCACACATGTGACAGATTGACTTCACTGATTGCTAATGCTAATTCTACACACCTCTTTCATTGCTAATAACTCATGTTATACTTACATGTGACATATTGACTTGACCAATGGCTAATGTTTTAAATCCCAGGATTGTCCGGTTTTTATATTTCTTTCTCCTCTGCAACATGACTTGTAGTTTATTGCAATCTCTTTTCAGGAAATGTGGATACTGGAATAAAACAAAATACAGATCATGTCATCATAGTTAGACAAAGAAGCAGAGAAATATAGCAAACCTAGTAGTCATTAGAGAATAATGTCAAGATCTTAAAATCAGTCTGACAATTAATCGATTCATTCAACTTCTTGCCTAAATCTTTCAACACTTGTAAAGATGGTCTAAGTGTCTAATACATAATGCATTTTCCACAATAAAAGTGTACAAAATGTTATCATTGTAATCATTATCATCCCTGTTTAACAAAGTCAAAGAAGATTGTTCATAAACATCACTGTTGATCAAAGAGTGAATAAGTAACTAAAACAAAAGTTGATGTGAAAAAGGAGACCCACAATGATATAATGGAATTCAATTTTCAATGACAGCTCCACTTGAGTCTGATGAGCATGGGATCTATCCTGCTTGGGAATCTAACATGTGTCTGACCAGAGAACAAGCAACAGAAATGGTCAATGGAGTTTGGGAAATGGAAATGGAGTTTTGTGCAGATGACTGAGTGAATGGCTTGTGTAAAGTGCTGTCAATACTGTTGCAGGCATGATCATACTGAATAATGTCCAATTTAATACAAAAATCTACTTGAAATGACATCAAGTATGAGTTTTTTAACCATTAGACGTATAGTGTTGTTTGGCACAGACTGAAATAGTTATTAGGCCAGGTTTTTCAATAACGATCTACTTCAAGACTGACCTTCATGAAGATTCTGTTTAATCTGACCGCATATTACCAGTTCTTTAAATAAAGAACTAATTTTTGTTTGGTTGCGTGTTGTTTAACGCCACGTAAGCAAAATTCCAGCTCTATGACAGTTATATGACAGCAGTCTGTAAATAATCGAGTCTGGACCAGACAATCCAGAGACTGACATCATGAGCATTGATTGGGATATGATGACATACATCAACTTAGTCAGTGAGCCTGACCACCTGATGCCGTTAGTCACTTCTTACGACAAGCATAATCATCTCTTACGACAAGCATGGGTTGCTGAAGACCTATTCTAACCCGGATCTCCACAGGTCTAAAGAACTAATAATATGCGCCCTTCCACCCAGCCCTTTCTGTGCTGCTACAACCCTAAATGAAGCAAGTCTAAACTTTCCATCAGCTCAGGTTCAGGTTCTGAATCTCACTGGGGCTCCTTTTCAATTTAAATAGAGTTGTTTGTTTTCATCAAAATTAAATATTAAACTATCATATTAAAACTAAGCATTAGTCTACATGGAGAATCGTGACCTCCACTGAACAAGTCTGTGAAGCATCCAAAGTCTGTGATGTAATATCCAGTTTATTTGTTCCTATACATTTCAGTTCCTTCTGTGTTACTTCTTTACTTCTGTTTCTCAAACTCGATCAGACCTATATGAACTAACAAGCAGTGCACTGGGGGCAGGAGGCAGACAAACAACCCAGGGTTGACTAATAGCAAAAATCATAAGTTAATTGTAGGGAAACCTGATGAATTCCTAATGCCAACATCCAACACTCACTCAAGTTACGGCTTATGAATACAACATGGATACATGAAATGCCCATAATCAATATTCAACACGAAGGCACAAAGTTTAAGTACACAATAATGATGGAATAGCATCAATACTAGAGTTGGGAAACCCATCAATGGGCAGAACTGTTGGCCGTGTGTAGGCAGCAAGAAGAGGTGGCACGAGGGACTACGTATCACAGCATTGGAGACTACTTGTCATTCATGTTGGACAGAGGACAATATGGTTTGCATGAGTGATGGCTGACCTAGGGACTGTCTCATTCAAATAAAAATACATTAGTAGGAATAAATGTATCTGTGTCAGACTTTTAGCAGCTTAACCTTGTACTGTTTTGTTACTGTGGTATGAACCTGTCATAAAACTGTCAAGCTCCTTACTTTCAACAGCAAACCCTGGAGAACATCCAGGAAGCAGGCATAGACACTAGACACTAGACCTAGTATGTGACTATTTTAGAGTGGTGGTTCATATTTATTTGTATTTTGTGAGACAACTGTGAGAAAATTGTCCTTCCGTTAGTCACAGACAAGTTTTTGTTTGTTTTTATTGCCGCACTCAGCAATATTCCATATGTAGGACAGGGGTCTTGACCATAGAATCCAGTGATTGACATCATGAGCATTGCTCTATGCAATTGGGATACAATGACATGCATCAACCAAGTTAGCGAGCCTAACTAGCAATCCCATTAGTCGTCTCTTATGACAAGCATGGATTGCTGATGACCAATTCCAACCCAGATCTTTACAGGATGTCATGGACAAGATGATAACCTCCTTTAATTGATCATGTCTGTGTAATATTACTACATATTGGGAGAAACTACCAATAACAAGTCCAACCGTCATTATGACACTTCACTAATTACAGACTAGACAACAGGAGGCTGACTTGAAAATTGGGCAATTTTCGGTATTAAAGAGTTTGTCAAACACAAATACAAAACTTGGTAAAATACAGTATCCATAAAGAAACCTGTCACCACCTCAATCAAAAACACAGCTCGTGCTTGGTAACCAACTGATTATTTACTGGGATTTCCCTGACAACACTTGCAAAGCCTGAACAAACATAACTGACAATGTGACATGAAATGGAAGAGAGACATTGTGCAGTGGTGTTTTCACTCTCAGGTATGACCAAGGCACTCTGGTTGATACAGCCATTATTACAGATAAAACGGAAAAAAGAAATATTGCATACTGTGGTGCAATGTGCAACTTTAGCTACTAGTCAAATAGCTTTTTATTAGTAATTAGTGTTAAAAAGCGTGTCTTCTCCTATGGTATTTGCCTCTAAGGATCCTTTATATGTTGAATGATATCATGCTTACTTTCGAACACAGGGTAATATTGGCTTTTGATATCCCTTATGTTAATCCGCGGATGGGCACATTCTTTTCTGAGTGCCATATCATCCCTCATCCTGATAAAATTTTACATCAGTGGCAAATGACAAAAGCATGAACATGTTTTACATTGCAGTCAGCAAGGAAATTCATCTGCCGGAAAATAATCAGGTTAGGATCAGCAGACCAATGGTAGATTGCATGAGCAACCATACATTGCAACCATCCACCATCAGGGCTCAATGACACAAAATATCATACATACAGGTCATACATTGCAACCATCCACCATCAGGGCTCGATGACACACAATATCATACATATAGGTCAAACATTGCAACTGCCCAATCCTCAGCTTTCAGGTCAACAAACGAATACCCAGGATCTATTCTACCCAGTGTGTGAAATAGTTTTAAAATATTGCTGGCCTTTCAAGGTACCAGCCAGTTTCAAATTTCACTAGCAATGAAACTGCATTGACCATTTTCGTTGCTGACAGTTTTTTCCCTTCATATTGCTATATTCTATCCTGTTTCTCTTCACCACTCATTTTATTTTATAAAGATATCAGGCCCCCCCACCCACACAAACACACCACCGCCACCAAAAAGAAATAAATGGAAGTTGTTGAGACACTTTTAAGATATCAGTAGCCAGTCAAACAAGAGACATTTCAGAAAATTATAGCCTGCCAGAAATATTGCTTGCCATGGGCTAGTGGGCAAGCAGCTATTTCGCACACTGACTCTACCCTTGAAACCCTAACAGGCTGGTTATCAAAAGGACCCCTTGACTTCATCAAACTACATCTACACTACCTCCATTCAAAACGAGAGACAGTACACAAAATAACTATCACAAAAAACATCATTAACTATTCATTATGGACACCTGATTTCCATCTTGTCTTCTTTCAACTCTTATTAACAAGTTAGCAAAGCTCGGATGACCAAGTTAGACTGACCAATCTGCTGTGATCAATCTCCCTGCTTTCACCCATATATCTCCCAACTTCCTGCTCAGGAAGCCTACTATCAAAGAAACTGAATCAGGTGGTCCACGTTCTCTAAACACGATGTGACTTTGATGTATCTGCATGATGTACATCTTTCAGCCAAGTATTTCCCTTGGAGATAATTTGATGTCATCTTCACATCAATATACTGGAATATACATTAATGGCTCACTTTTACTACCAGCAGAATGTAGGCCATCGGTCCAGATTCACACCATACAATTGGTTTAACAGTGGACAGTAAAAATATTGTGAACAAAACAAATTTGAGAAATACAGATTATCTGTGCTTACATCCTAGGATTATTGGCAGGATAAATGAGTGAGTGAGTTGGGTTTTAATGCCACTTTTAACATTATTCTAGTTATATCACAGCGTGTCACCTTAATGTGGGAGGAAAGCCTGAAGTGATGCAGGTCTCAGACATTTACAACTTCGGTGATACAATGAGCACAGGTATAGTGCTGACAAACCTAGAATTATAATCGGGGCGAACTTGGATTCGAACCCACAATCATAGGTTTCTGGTGTGCCCAAGGGATGCAACTCTGCACAGCAAATTGCGGTGCCTTAGACGACTGGGCTACCCGTGCCCCCCAGGATAAATGAACATAGCAAGGTTCTTAATTACCTTTCCTTTAGATCAGAACATTACTGAATTGAATTTAAATAGTGTTGGATGAGTAACAAATTTGTTTGGTACACATTTTTCTTGCACCATATTGTATTTTAAACAAATCAATACAAAATGGTACTCATCCTCCACATTAGAATTACTGTCATTAACTCTTTCAACACCGTAGGCCGGTTATCCGGCCAAGAAGCATGGAGTCCCCAGACACCGCAGGCCGGTTATCCGGCCAAGCCGTAGTCACGTCAAAATAGTATATATTTTTTGGACCTACCTGTAATGTCATTCATTTATTAAATCTATCACATTTCACAATGTCTGAAATACATATTCCATTTCAATTTAACATTTTTTATCGTTAAATTAAAAAATTATTCACTATTTCTCGCGATGTTATTGAAAATAAAATTCTCGGACACACATTTCGACAACGGGTCCACATCGAACACGTCAAAGAGGAAAATAAAGACGTTTTAAACAAATCTTTAAATATATTATACAAAGTAATGAATAAAATCAACAAAAATATATCTAAAAGTATTCAAACTTACATCTAAGTTATTATTTCCATCTTTTCGTGCGATCGCGTGTAATGTAAGTCAAATGACATCTCGGCTTTCGTCGCCTTGAATTCTCGGCTCGGACACGATGTTTAATGCAAAAATATATGCATGAAAAATCTTTGTCACAGCTCGTAACCTAGCACGATACATTCACGAAGTTCAATATTTTTAATATATATCGTGATTTCCTGCTCAAAACGTTCAGAATAACACGATTTAACAAAATTCTTTCGCAAACTTCTGTAATTTATCGAACACGAGCTTGGTATCATAGCTGTAGTTTGATTGGCTGCCTTAGGTCACGTGCTCAAAATTGACCAATCACGAAACTTGTAGCAGATTTCAGCAAGAAAGCGTCATTAGAAACCAATTTTAATCCAATGAAATCGCTTGTTATAACTACGAAAAAAACCAGTCGATGTTACGAGCGTGTAGATGAAGGAATAAGCTTTCCAGCGATGTGTCATATGCCATTCTTCGACGAACGTGTTATTCATACGAAACCTCGAAAACGGGGGTATTTCTTCATTTTACTGAGCGGACAGTCGCTGTTATCGGGAAATGGGTGATGACAGAAACTATTTATAATTCTTTTTAAAATGCTTTTCCAATTACGTAAACAATGAAAATAAAACAGAAATAGGTACGTGGATATTATGAAATCATATATTTGCCGAAAATCGTCAAGTTTTCGCTTCCTTGGTCCTTAATCTGGATGTAAACAACGTGTTAGCGTACATTTTTTATTTACAACGAATTTAATTAAATTGTAAATGCATTATTTTAAATAATTTGAAAAATATAACTTTCATATTTATAAACCATAGGATCAGACCTTTCAAATGGTGTATAACATGTAGTAGCAAATATATTTTACAAGCAGGTATTTTCTTTGATAAATGTTGGCTTCATCTATCACACAAGAGTCTCTGGGAACTCGGTGTCCCAGCAGTAAACACTTCTGGTTGACTGGTGTTGAAAGAGTTAATTGCAATATCACCGCGGGGGACACCAGAAATGGGCTTGTACCCATGTCGGGAATCGAACCCGGGTCATCGGCGTGATGAGTGAACACTTTAACCACTGGGCTACCTGACTGCCCCAGTATGTATATGAGGAACAGAGCCACATTAACTGCATGGGCTACCACCATCCCCTGTTAAGGAAGTCATGTGTACAAGTAGTAGGGATGGAGAGATATGGATTCATAATGTGGTGTTCACTGTGGTCACCTGAACTTCACAACATGGATACCCCACTAAGAAATGGTCCTTGTTCTATCCTCTTAATGCCGAGCGCCAGTCACAGTAACAACAAGTACCATCTTTTGACACGCCCATGGATCGAACCACTAACCTTCCATTCTCAGGGCAGACATTCTATCAACAAGCCAACTTTAGGCAGTCCCTGGGCAAAAGTACCGGTAAGGGACTTAACTCTGCACACAGTGCCATACCTTAAATAAACAAGCCACTAGAGCACAACTTTGCACTGAAGAACTTACCTGCAATGAAAATGAAAGATCAAGTTCCGTGTCAAGTAATCCCCCTGGCGGCACAATGATCTCGTTTGAGCGTAGTATTCTCTTGGAACTCTGCAAAACAAAGACATCAAAATATCATGAACCAGTGTCTTTCTACTAGTGGGACAATGAAAACAGCCATAAATCCAATCCCATGTCAAGATACAAAGCATATTCCATCGTTCCAGATGTTCAAGAATGAACTTTAGCAGTATTATTTCATCTCCAAATGTACAGCACTTTTAAGAGTAGGAGTTCAGACAGATCTCATAAATTTTGGTCATCATGTCATTCACTTTTTCTGTAACATGGTAGTCATTGTTTTTCAAATTTATAAAAAACTATAAGAAATGCAATAAATAAAAACAAATAAATAAAATAAAACCAATCCACATAAGCTGTGATACAATGCCCATGGACATTGTCTGTTTCCTCCAGTTGTTATATATGCAGGTCCTTTGACATACTTAACAAGTCCAGTCTTCCTCCAGTATTCCCCCATATACTATCTTTTGACATTGAGATATTACATCAGCGTATAATTATTTTATTTAAATATACACACAAAATAAGCATTAGAAACTGGCACTAGTCCTATAGTCCTTGATAGTTAAGGTATCATGAGGACTAGTAGAAATTTGCCATTTTTAGGGGTTTTGCTATATGTTATCATTATAAGGACCAGTGGACTGAAACTGTTAGTTTCTAACGCTGCATTACATCAGTGAGTGGAGTGACTGGAGGGGTTGTACGGTTAATCAGGTTCAGATTAGCTGCCTGCCCACTAGCAACCGCCAGTAACTTTTAAATTGGGCAAGTTACATTTTCATAAAGCTGCCCCGACTGTCGAGTTGAAAATTCTAGTCAATAGGCATTTATTTCTATGAATCATCTAGTCAGTTAAGGCATCATTTAATGTCAAAGTCTGTTGTCATTTTGTTGTTTGTTTGTTGTTTAACGCAGCACTCAGCAATATTCCAGCTATATGACGGCAGTCTGTAAATTATCGAGTCTGGGCAAGACAATCCAGTGATTGATAACATGAGCATCGATCCACACAATTGGGATACGATGACATGCATCAACCAAGTCACCGAACCTGACCACCTGATCCCTTAAGTCGCCTCTTACAACAAGCATAGTCGCATTTTACAGCAAGCATGGGTTGCTGAAGACCTATTCTACCCAGGTTCGTCATGGGTTGTTTTCTTTTCGTAGTATATCTGACACCCACTTAAAGTTAAAGTACCGGTAGACAACTGGGGTTTTGCTGTTCACAGACTATATGACTAATACACACGTACATGTGTTACTAGCAATGTGTGTGAAAGCCTAAGAACCACAACAAACGTCAGAAAAACGTATAGTACCAATCAGCTTCGATGAACACACAAAATACATTTACGTTAACACAAAATATGTCAGCTAGTAGAGCAAGTGAAACATAATGAGGGCTTGCAACTTTTTTGCTAAACAAGCCTGTCTTGGCCTGTGAACTTTGGCAACTAATTCATATACTACTGTCAATGCCTATCAATATCAGTATCTGTCAATACTTTGGTCACATCTGCCAAGTGTTACAGTACTTGCAGCAGACACACCTGTGGTTGATGGTGGGAGTGTTCATTCATGTCTGATTACATACTTACCATGACTGAATGGGCTTTATTACAGATTTTGCCTATTTTAATTAAGTAACTTTTCATCCAAATTTAAGCCCATGGCTTAACAAGAGTCATCAGGATTATGACATATCCCCCTGGTCTGGTGCAATTCAGAAATGGAGTTTGGCTACTTATACCCCCCTTTTGGTTCATTGCCTTGGAAAAAATAATGCTGTTCAGTATTTTATAATATCCCAAATCATCAAAAGGCACCAGTTCACCACTGGACTGATGTGTTTAACAAGTTTCATCCAGAAATATTAAACAGTTTTGGAGTTCTGCTCCTGAAATGAGCACAAGCCTCATTTCCAGTATAAGTCCAACTTGTCTTTATGAAAAACAAAACAAACATAATAAATTAAAAAAAATCAGAAATCATCAAAAGGCACCAGTTCACCACTAGACTGATCTGTATAACAAGTTTCAACAAGAAATATTCAATGGTTTAGGAGTTCTGCTCTGGAAACAGAAGGCGGATGGATGGATGGACATGCTGATAGTCATATCCCTGTTTTTCAAATCGGGGGATAAAAACAAAAAGGACAAAACCATGATAGGAAGAATGAATATCCCAAGTTCAATGAAACAATACTCACGAATGGAATGAATGAGCCATACTTTAACATAAGAATTGATTTCCTTTTTCAACTTCAAAATTAAAAAGTTCGGAAAATTGAAATGACCAATATCTCAGTTATTGCGTGTCTGTGATATGTGTATAATATGTCACACTGACTGAGTATCCAGAGTATCACCAATGTTAGGGGGCTAATGTATCTTGTAAATGTGGAACCTCTAACAGCCTCAAAAGATGCAACATTGGTGCAAACTAGCCAAGAAGCATGCTATAACACTTGTTAAAGAACATCCTGAAAGGGAGATCAATCAATTTTGCAATTTAAATTAAAATTTCAGTTTTACTTTATGTTTTTAAGCCCATGGGTTAAATAAAGAGGGGGCTTAAAAACATGCACTCCCGGTGCTGTTTGCTGATCCTCCTATAAACCAAATTATGTTAGATTGGTCAGTCTGTCCACAAAATCTTTGTATTAAGATGTTGATATTTGTTTCCTGTGACATAATTCAGCTCTTTGAAAATGTTACTAGTCACTGACCACTGGGCCACTGTTACTTCTAATGCTGATCCTGCCAATACCCAAAGCTATTGGAAATATGACATGTCGGAGGAAACAGGGAACATGACTGTTGATTGAAACGCAAAACGATATGCTGACATTCATTACATTGAGAACACAGAAACACCATCCATGTTTGATCAACTAATGAGAACAGATCCATTAAACAAACTTTATCTGTTTTCTCCTTCACTGCTATCTATCTGTCCCTAAAAAGGGTCAATATTTAGAAATGCCAATTTCAGAATCATCAAATATGTCAGCAACAAAAGTCGTAATATTTAGTCTTAAGTAAACTCCTGTTGAGAAATAAGAGAGTTATACAAATAAATAATACATGGCCCTCAGCACTTATTCCCACAAACGTAGTTATCTTAGAGTATCAGTTTCCATGGTAACCAAAAAGAATACTTTGTCAGTTCAGAAACCCCACCTTGCAATCAGTTGTGACAAGAAATAAAAAAATACTATAAACATACAGAGATTAGTTCAGAAATCCAGCAAAAACAACGTTTTCAGTTATAGAAACTGAAATGACCTTGTCACAACCCTAACATTAAAACATCAAAATGTTGGGGCTTTCCAGACTCAAATATACTACTCAACATTAATTGAGGACCAGAACAGTCATCGTTAGTCAAAGACGTGGTCCTGAACAAAGTAGAGAAGTATACCATAGAGCAAACAAGAAGGAATTTCAAACACAGGCTCTGAGTCACAATCAGGACCAATCAGTATTCATCAAAAGGCAGCCAAAGGCCAGTGCCAGTTGATCTGTTTCCTACAGTTCACTGAACAGCTGTTGTGCGGACTCCTACTGATGAGTTGTTACAGTAACATCATAAAACATGGTCCAGTTAACTGATAGTAGTAATTGCTGATTACTACTGACATAACACTTGAGCAGCCAATGAGCAATGCTTGTTGACAATGTTAAAGGTATCTTGAGGACTTGATGAATTTCAGGATTTTTAGGTGGGGCCCTTGTAATTACTACTTGAACAAGTCAACTTTTCAGGTGCATTTCTGTGTGAGCTGGTCGTCAACGTTCAGATGTAGAGTTGTGAATTAGTTTGTCCTAAACATCTGCGGCAATAGTATAAGAAATCTCTCAAACCGAACTGCGTCTATATCGGACTAAAGTTATGGTTTCAAATTTATTACGTTCATTTATCATCAGTAAAATCTGCCTTAACTAGACTTCCATTACTTCGGATTCCGAACTGAAATTGTTGGACAAAAGGACCGATTGAAATAATTGACGCTTCCAAATCCGGATTAACTTTTTACACATCTCACTTGTACATCCGGTAAGCTGTTCTCATCAATTAACGATGTGTTCACTATGTGGAATGATCCCGGGAATGGTCTCAGCTCAGCAGTAACACTGTGTTGATGCCACTTATTGAAGTCCTACAGACCCAAATGTAACACTGCCTACCTTGGATATAAGTACTTATGAGACTTAAGAAATTCATCAGTATAATAATTATCACTGTAATCATCACCATGACAGATGACATACAAAGCAACAGTGCAGTGAACTGTCTCTTGGATCAAATGAGTGAGTGAGTGAGTGAGTTGGGTTTAACGCCGCTTTTAACATTATTCCAGTTATATCACTGCTTAATGTGGGAAGAAAGCCCAAAGTGATGCAGGTCTCAGACATTTACCACTTCGGTGAAACCCACAAGCACAGGTATGGTGCTTACAAACCTAGAAACATAATCAAGCGAACTGGGATTTGAACCCACAATCATAGGTTTCTGGCATGCCCAAGGGACCCAACTCTGCACAGCGAATCGCGGTGCCTTTGACGACTGGGCCACCCGTGCTCTCCTCTTGGATCAAAAGTCAAGTTGATGGACTTAAGCAAACAATATTTTAAGCCATCACAGAGTACTGCCTTATATGTTGTCAAACTGTTGTCTTATCTCAGCCCCATTCAAGTCACTATGGGGTTTAATGAACCATCTGAAGATCTTTTCAAACCATCGATACAAATGCTTGTTCAGATCATTTTGATAAACTTAGTAAAGAAAAATCAACTTTCATAAGCTATGTGAAGGCCGAGTGAATATATTATACATGACACATGTAGTGAGTGAGTGAGTGAGTGAGTGAGTGAGTGAGTGAGTGAGCGAGCGAGCGAGAGATTTCAGTTATATCACTGTCAACTTCAAACTTAAAAATTAATGCATGTTCGTTTCCTGTTATCAGAAACTGGATTTACGTCTGTAGTTGAACCATACAAATATATTTTTGAGTCATATTAAAATAAAGATTTCATCCTCATATTATGTCAATTCTGATGTCTGAGACATAAGCTGAGTATTGAACTGTTTCATTATATTTAATACGGAAAACAGAAGACTGTAATCCCTAGGTCCATGTACATGTATTCATCACAAACAATATTCTAACAACTATTAGCAACATTGAATGTTGGGCTCTAAAAAATATTCCCATATATTTGAAAAGAAATCTTCTAGTATAATGTAAGATAAACATTTTATTAAGAGAGTATAACATTGGTCCCAAGTTTTGTCTTATTTATTCAACCCTTGGCCATGTGGCCTTTGATATTGAATTAACTTCTTCTAATATTGGGTGAGGTGAAATGGGGTTGAACGTTACATTGAAGATTGTTGCACTTATGTAGCAACGTGCATGCACGTGTGTGTGGCTGCTTGCACTAGCCCGGGCTGATGCCGATTTTATCGTGCAAGCCCACTGAGATACCATGCCGCAGTTAAACATGAATACCTCACTCAGACACAATATACTGACTCAGAGCCCACCAGTCCTTGTTTAGCCCCATAGATGCCAAGCGCCAGGCAGGGTAACAACAAGTACAATCTCTTAACAGCTGTTAGTATGAAGCAGCCGGGGACTGAACCCCAGACCTTCTCTCTCTGAGCAGAGCTCTCCTAGGAATATAATGAATCAATAGTGTATAATGAGCCCATTCAATGTTTCCCAAATCAGATCCTGGCCATGACACAAGTTACTGAGTGGGATACTCACCTGCATCTTGACTGCGATGATGATGGAGGTGAGGTCATTCTCAAGGGCTCTGTGGACCACCAGGCGGGTTAATGTCAAACTGCACATTCTGGAAACAAGGAAAATCAGGTTAACATTGATATCAGTAAATAATAGCCCATCACACTCTCCGTAAAAGGTGAAATACAAAGCCTGTGGACGTTCATATGTTTTCTGTCATGGAGTACAAAAATTAAACAATCCTATTTCAAGTCCAAAGTAACACACAACATAAAAAGATATGCATAAAATTTGAGACTGACAACTTTTGACAAGGACTGGCTGTGTTTGAAATAATTTTAAAACCAAAAAAGACAGCCGGGCAGGTGACCAATAAGTGTTGCATGCCCATTTTCAAAGGTACCTGCTCGCATTCAGACATTATAATTACTAACAACATAAAATGAGACAAATCTTGTCTTGATTCAGTTGAAATAATGCAAACAATTCCTTGAAAATCTGAAAGGAGTTATAATATAACTAAATACTTAAGTAGTCTTAAATACTTAAGTAGTCTTAAAATCATCTGCAAGACAGTCGGGCAAGTGGAGGGAAATTTCAAGCCTCACGGAAAAGTGAGGCGGGTGAATGGGTGGGTTATTAATTTGTGTCCCAAATTTGTGTTACAGTTATTTTGGACACAAATTACAAATAATACATGGATAGTTGCTGTAGTGTGGACATGTAAGGGTTAGCCACAAATTTGAAAGATTTTGACATGCTTTTGGTGCATGAAGACATAAATATTAGATTTGTACTTTCAGGGTTAGAAATTAACATTAACCTGCTGGCCTGGGGCTATTACAAATTCCTGTGGGCAAGTACAAATTTTCTAATTTTCCAATTGTTTTAACACAAGGGCATCTTCACCAGGGCTAGTAAGCCTTTTAAGTTTAGTTCTCACCCTGCATTTTCCAATAATAGGTTGCACTGATGCATGTTTTATGCAGCTAAATCAAGCCCTGATATATACTACTCAAAAGAAGATAAGAACCTCAATGACTATCATCCATCTGTCACAGTATGTATACATTGTGATATGAATATTACATAAAAGAAGTTAAAGAAACATTAACCTTTTTGAGTAGTATATATCACACTACACCAAATTTACTTTTTGAGTAACAAGACATTCAGGACATATTCCACAAGACTAAAAAGTTTTTTTTCAACAACAGACAATTTATCATGTTTGTGCCTCAATCACACAAAGTACCTGTTACTGTAAATTACCTATCTGTGTACTGACACATGTATCAGCAGTTTACAATATACTGTAGTCTGTGCTACGCCCTCATCTGCCTATCAGCATGAACACAGTCTAGCATGGCCAGCATGATTCTCACTATTGTTAATTCATACATACTTGCACTGGTGTACATGTTTCTAGGTGTAGCTATGCTGACTAGTCCAACAAAAATGTTACAAGAATCAGGTTCTGAGCCAGGCACCCAGTGAAGCTAACTGCCACAACATTGCACACTCAGCTCTAGCTATCATGGTGATGTTGATAAATCATGCTCACAAGATTACAGCCATGTGAAAATTATATTTAAGATGTCACGATGGAGAACCAGCTGAAGTTGAAAATTTCATGATCTTATCATGAAAAAAACCCAAACAGTTCCCAAGTTACTGTTGAGAGACAGATTCTGACTGGTGAATTATTGTTCCGTCATGTTTCATGTTCTTTTTCCATATGTGTTAAAAATACAAATAAAATTCGAAAAAAGATTCAGCCAAACGGTTACCTGTTTGACAAGCTGTACAAGTCCGCATGGAAAGCATTCAAACATGCACTACCTCACTGTTGCTCCAATTATTTTGTGTTTATTTTCAATTTCTATGCATGATAATGCAAAATGCTTTGTTTTTAATAAAGAATAAAAAAATGACACAGTCATACTGTATAAATCATTGAATTGCCAGCACACATGTGATCCCATATAAGAAGTTCAGTATGCACGCCTTTCTATACAGGTATGACATAATACTGACATGCACCACCTGAAATACCTCCACATCACTCCCAGGTCATCAAGTGTGTGAAATGAGGAAGTCCTTATCTCGTAATCAAAGCTCTTAAGTCTGACATTTTTTCACTTCATCAGTTTGTTGACAAATTCCTGATTAAACCAAGTCTAAAACATTTTCATTTCTAATTCATCACAAAAAAGGCTTGTAATCAACACCAGAAATCCTTATCACTATGTTAGAAGTATTTGCCAGTACAGCCTACACCAAAACATGAAGTTGCTGTGTTTGGTTGATAATTCAAACACTTGAAGGGGGCACAGGTGGTCTAGTTAGAGTTGCATCCCTTGGGCACACCAGAAACTTATGATTGTGGGTTCGAATCTCCGTTCTCCTCAATTATGTTTATAGGTTTGTCAGAACCATACCATGCTTGTGGGTTTTATGAAGGTAAATGTTTGAGATCTGCATGACTTCAGGCTTTCCTCCCAGATTCAGCTGACAAGCCATGATATAACTGGAATACTGTTAAACGCTGCGTCAAACCCATCTCACGAAGTGTTCTTATTAATTCAGAGTTTCTTTGGAAAATATCCATACTGCAAACTACTTTTTAATGGTTTGGAATTTTCATATTAATTCTTTTTATCATCATAACCTAGCACAAGTTGGTCTTGTTTACAAGTTCATTTCAGTACAAAAATCCAGTTTAACATGTTTAAACACATACTACAAGTAATATCTTTTACAAGTACTTGACATACATACCAATGAAATTGTTAGGGTCAGTACCGAAAAATAGTTAATCCAAATAAAGAATTTTTTCAATGCCTTCACACATTCAGATAAGGTTTCGACAAAGTGAATTATTGGGTCAGTGCATGCAGCTGCTATTTCCCTGAAAACTTACTTTGGCAAGAACTGTATCTTGTGTATTTGGAAAGTAGTGTAACAGAAATTGGCATATGTTTTACTTGATAAATACACTACTTGAAATAAAAAAAAATTGGCTCCAAAACTCCTATTGTGCAATTCCTAAAATGGATCATGAGCTGATTACATAAGGTCTTAGCCCAAACTTCTTTAGAATTCCAATCTCGTATTGTCAAATAAAGAATCATCCAAACTCATATTGTCAATTAAAAGAAACTTCCACTCTCACATTGTCATTTAAAAGAAACTTCCAATCTCACATTGTCATTTAAAAGAAACTTCCAATCTCACATTGTCAATTAAAAGAAACTTCCAATCTCACATTGTCAATTTAAGGAAACAATGTACTCCAAATAAAATAGTCTTGTTTGCAATGTAAAACATGAGGCAACAAATGGTCTAAAACTGTTTATCTTTATCAGCATGATCAGGCAGTTATCAATAATGTCAGGTTTTGTCAGGTAAAACTCTAGTTTTAATGAAAGAACTTTTGTTCCTTGTCACTATGGTTGATAACCAGTAAAATTAATTTCCTGCCTACAGAGGAAAAAGTGGAAAAATGCCTAGTTATAGTGAGTGACCTGTTGAGCTTGAAAGTAAGCTTTTTATGAGAAACATTATTATATTTTCCATGACCTCAGCTGTAGACAAACAGGAACCTGTCCTAACCTGCTATGTACAGTCCCAGACAGTCTTGAAACCAAGTCAGTTGTTTCCCAATTGCCTTCATGATTGACAGCTTGTGAGGAAAATAGTTTGCAAAAAGGTCATATCAATCCAGGCAGAAGCAGAGCTATTTGATTGACTTACAAGAGAAGGCCAGTCTGAGGACTCAGGTGTATTGCCAATGTCATGACATAATGGCTTAGCTTGGCGTACATGTGAAGAAAAAATGTCTGAATTCTATGTTTAGGTCATAAATCATCCAATATTTGACTTGCATAGATCCTATTTGCACTTGTGATACTAGATGTCCTAACTTGCAGATAATAGCTGAAACGATTCACCCTCATGATACATCCTGTTTCATGAAACACCATGTAGCATATTACACAATTTTGTGTAACACTGAGTAATTTTGATTTAACAAAACAGGTGTTTGTGTTTTTCAAACTGCCAAATAGTTAAAATAAAGACTGGTAGAAACTTAGAAACTAGTACAAACTTGCCATTTGTAAGACATTTGCTATATGTTATCATTATAATGACTAGTGGACAAAAGTTTTTAGTTTCTATAGCTGACATCTCATTTTGATGTCAAATATCGTTATCATTTGTGTGCTAAAGAATCTGTTAGTTCATAAATCAGACATGCAGATAAGAAACACAGTTTATGTAACGATAAGTACACAGAATGAAGCATGTCATTGTTTTCAGAGGTAGACACACTGATCAAATCCAACAAGTCAGCAGTTCATTTCAGACTGCAGCGCTAGAAACTAACAGTTTTAGTCAACTAGTTTTTATAATGATAACATATTTTACTTGTTTGTCTGTTGTTAAACGCCGCACTCAGAAATATTCCAGCTATATGACGGCAGTCTGTAAATAATCGAGTCTGGACCAGACAACCCAGTGATTGACATTATGAGCATCGATCCAAGCAATTGGGTTATGATGACATGCATCAACCAAGTCATTGAGCCTGACCACCTGATCCCGCTAGTCGCCTCTTACGACAAGCATAGTTACCTGTTAGCATGGGTTGATAACATAGAGCAAACCCCTTAAAAGTGGCAAATTTCTACTAGTCTTTATGATACCTAAACTATTGGGCAGTTTGGCAAGGACTACAGGACTGGTGCCAATTTCTAGTACTGGACTAAGTGTTTTTTTCTCAAATACTGTATTTTCTTGAGTATAGTGCACATTTTTTCCAAAAAAACCACAGATGTGTAGAAGGGGGTGCGCATTATACACACCATAATGACCGTGAGCACGTAAAAGGAAATACCATGTCAACAAATCCGTAATGGAGTACGCAAAGTAATATTGTAATTACACTGTCTCGTTACAAAAAGCGTTCATTATCTGGACTTACATTGGTAACCTATTTCATTAATTTTATTCAAAATTCCTTTTAATAGTGCGTGCGTGTGTGTGTGCGCCTGTCTGCTTGTGCTAGTGTACTAGTCGGGACTAATGCCTATTATATAGTGCTAG